TATATATATATATATATGTCACGATATTTTTTATTCCAGTGCATTTTGGGCACCCTATCAAATTTTCCATCTGTACACTGACAGAAATAAACACTTGACACCATATGTGCATACTGCAAAATTAGGTGTAAGGAACGCAACTCAAAGCAAAAAAATCTTTCACAACTGGTGAATAAACGCTAAATCCTAGGAGGTCACTGAGAAATCACATGTCATCTGGTGCTGTTAACAAAAAATGAAGCACCTGTTGTATTGATATTGTCAGGAAAAAGATCAGTTGGTTTGCAGGCCCTGGTGTACTTCTTTTTTCCTTCTGGCACTACAGCCCCAATTTGGGCACTGGCTTACCTCCATGGAACTCTGTTTCACTTCAGTTTACTATTTCTTAGACATTTGGTAGGACTCCTTTGGCAGGTGATCAGTCGTTGCAAGGCACACAAACACAGAAAAATGCACATGCACACCAAACACCCATGCTGAGTGGGATTTAAACGCACGATCCTGGCTTCTGAGCAAGCCAAGACAGCGCATGCCTTAGACCACATGGCTAGCATTACCGCCTGGTGTTACTTTTACCAAGCAAAATCTTTAAGAAGTAAGAATGGGTCAGTTCTGCAAAATTAAGTTGAACATATTAGAAAAGTATTATTTCCAAGAAAAACAACAGTGTTCCCAACAGAAGTGATATGGTATATTAATATAGTTTCATGATACTGTACACACAGTGCATTTACTTCATTAAAACATACCCTCTGACATCTAGTGGGAAAAGTATTAACTCACATGTTTGAATTTCCCACTAGCACATGAATATCAGAAGTATGTTGAAAATAGAATCTAGTAACTTTCTAAGGATGACATAAAGGTATGTCACCAACTGGAGATGATGAAACCAGGTTCGTCCTCAGGTATAACAATAACAGAGTATTAAATTCTCTCTGAAGCACTTTGGTAGTTACTTCTTTATGTACAATAATTACATTTAAACATTTCATATTGTGAATAATAATATACATGACCTTAAAACACAAAAAAATAAAAGGCATCTCTTTAATATCTTACTGGATTGCAATTAAATACGTCAGAAAACCGTTACACGTTTACATAATCCTGTACTACCTTTGTGTTAAATCACAGGGTGAGTGCCCTGATGACAGGTGTGTAATTTAAGCCTTTAGTCATTGCCATGTATTGGCATCGGTGGTCTTACAAAATGCTGTATAAACTGCTAAGATATGCAGCCCAGATACATCTATTTCATGCACATGGTGGTGAAGTGGAAACAAAGCAAATCTATTTACAATCCCTCAACCAACCAACTGCCATTAAAGTGCAAGCTACAACTGTCACAACAACAATGCAATAAGATTAAATTCTGAATACTTTATACAATTAAGATATACTTCTACACTACAATGTTAAATTCACAGTACCAATACCACATGTGTGACATGGGTAAATGAATTCTTTGCATCTTTATACAGCATCGTGAAGCTTCTTTCCTGTGTGCACCAGACAGATAATTCTGTCACACTAAGAGAAAACTTCAGACACAGCACATGATAAATACACATTTTTTTGCAATATAAGTACTATGGTCAGCAAAGAATATCTTCCTCGGTTCTAAAAGAAGCATTACAAAATTCAAACTGTAAAAGATGGTAATACACACCTGCATACAGACAAGGTGTTTCCCAGCTTGGGCTACACATTACTGTACATAAACATAAGGTCATTTGAGGCACTGCTCTGATGTTATCATCTGATAAAACTATTAAGTATGGGGTGTAGTGATTGACACAGGATATAGTTTACTATTCCATTATGATGTTAATGATCTACATACAGCTCATTAAAGCAGCAGGATAAAGGAGGAACTTGTTCCATGACAGCCACTGCAGAGCTGAGATACCAAAACTGTATGGACCAACAGAATACTGTATATCCACGTCATCAATCTGTCATTACAATTACAAATTTTTTCAAACAGCCATAGCATCATCCAACAACGCTGTTAACTCCCGTAAGTGCTGCATTTTGCTGCCAGTAGCTGGTGAGGCAGCAGTTGGTCGTCCAGCATAACTGAAAAATAAATAAACTAATTTTATTTAGAAAAGAAAATAACACAGTTTCAATACATCTAACTGCTGGCACACATCATAAAGCAGTGTTTCTCATAAGCAAGAATTACAAGGAGCTGATTGTTGCTATTAAATGCAGCCACACAAGTACTGGCATTTTGGTGTAACCTGCTCCCTCCATTTTCAGTGTACAAGGTGTGACACTTTAATTCCCGGAATGGACGCAGCTTGTTGCTGGAGTGTTGAGTCAGGCAAACTCATGTATCCAAACATGCTTGGACATGTTCCAACTTGAGTTTACATGAGTCACAGACCAAGCGAGTAGTTTGTTCCAAAGCAGCAGAGGAAGTATAAGTCTCCGTGGTATACTATTGGCAGAAAAATGAGTGACAAGAATTTGGCGCAACGGATAAACATCAAGTTTTGTGTGAAGATTGGTAAAAGTGCTAGTGAAACGTTAGCCCTACTAAAAGTGGCTTATGATGAATGCGCTTTGAAGAAATCAAGTGTTTTTGAATGGCATAGGTGGTTGAAGGAAGGGTGAGAATATGTGCAAGATGACCCAAGAAGTGGGCAGCCAAAAATACAAAGGAGAGTTGCAAATGTGGACAGAATACGAACATGGTGCATTCAGATCGAAGATTAGGTGTGAGACTAATAGCAGAAGAATTGAATATGAATACAGGAACAGTGCGACAGATCATCATGGAGGATTTGGGAGAGAAACATTTCTGTGAAGATGGTGCCTCAAATCTTGACAGATAACCAGAAACAATGTCAGCTTCACATTTCTCTGATCTTTTACACATTGCAGAGATGTTTGATAGGTATGAATCATGGTGTTTTCAATATTACCTGGAAACAAAACGCCAGAGCACGCTGTGGAAAACACAGAATTCACCTCAGCTAAAAAAAGCACGCATGTCTCGCTTGTAGTTCAAGACCATGCTTGTGTGTTTCTTTCATTACAAGGGGATACTTCACTATGAATTCATTGCACAAGGACAAACTGTGAATCAAGAGCATTATTTGGAAGTGCTGACAAGGTTACAGGAATCTGATTGGAGGACAAGGGCTGAACTCTGGCCTAACTAGTGGATTCTTCACCGTGACAATGCCTCTGCGCATGTGTTAAGAGTTTGCGAGTTCCTGGCTAAGAAATCCATCACAAAAATGACCACCCACCTTATTCACCAGACTTAGCCCCTGTGATTTTTGGCCCTTTCCAAAATCAAAAATGCCCTGAAGGGACAAAGATTTGCTGACATTCCTGACATCAAACACAACACGATGATACTGCGAGATTTTCCAGAAACGATTTTCAAGACTGTTTCCAGCATTGGCACCGTCTCATGAAGTGCATAGCTTAGAAGGGGTGTATTCTGAAGGCGACAGCAGCCACTAGTGTACAGGTAAGCAAATCTTGTTTTCACAGGGCCATTCCTGGACTTAAATTGTTGCACCTCGTACTTTTCTATCTGCCTCATTCCAAAGGACCATAATCATAATACTCATCACTGCAAGAACATCAAATTTCTTATAAGAATTATCTGTTCCTAATTAATAATATTCATCATCAAAGGAGATATGGACTTGCTCTGCCATCATTTTATGCTGCTCTTGATGTTTACAACTGAACTTCATAGCACAAGTCTTCAGTTCAAAGCTGATAGTTGCTGAATTGGTCTTACAGAACCCAAAGAACCATGACTGTTTTCATGAAAATTGCTGTTGTATTTCATCTTGGACTAGTTACATCTATACGTCAACAATCTACTTCTCTAAATCCCATTTAATATTCTCCCACCTACTTTTTGGTCTCCAAAATGACATCTTTTCAAGTTTACCAACCACTATTATGTCCTCTTTCTTAGGACAAATATTATCCGTTGAAGTTCATTCTCGAACACACTCAGACTCAGTTATGTCCTTCCCTTACAGTCATACAAAATAACACGGTAAAATTACAGGTTTATAAGTTTTAATATGTAGATTTTGTTATAAGAATACAGGAAAATTAAGATTCTGAACTAGATAGTTGTAAGATTTCTCTAATCTGCTTGTAATTCAGTTATCAATATCACTTTACTAGTTATCAAGTACAGTTGTGAAACTTGGTCTCTCATATTAACGGAAAAATGTATGAGACTGAGGGTGGTTTACAGGAAACTGGAGAAAAATTCCATGAGCTTCATAATTTATATACAACAAATATTATCAGGATCAAATGAAGGCCAAAGAGCTGGACTGGACATATAGCATGCACAAGACTGATAAAGGCATAGAAGCTTTTGATTGGAAAATCTCAAGGGACAAGACCCCATGACCTAGATGTATATAGGGAAATATTAAAATGGATCTTAAAGAAACAGAGGATGAGAAGGTACGGACTAAATTCATTTGGCTCAGAATAGGAACAAATGGCAGTCTCTTATCAACATTTTAATGACCCTCCAGATAACATTAAGGCAGAGAATATTTTGAGTAGGTGGGTGAATTATCTTCTGAAGAAGATTTAGTTACATTATTTTAATTGTTGTTTTCTGGGTTGTGACATCACAGTCTGGTATATGGATATTCAGTTGTAAGTCTATACTATATGGTGTGACAATCTGAACTCTCAATGTAGTGAAAACCTCATTTATATTTGTAACCATTATTCCCAACTTGTAAGGTTAATAAAATGAAGTTCTACAATATGGCTCAAAGGGTCTATCAACCTCATCTCTTGTGACTGTGTTCTCTATAATGGGGAATCAAACATTAAAGATGAGTAAACTCAACATGCAGCTACTATATGTGGGATCCATACTCTCTTCTGAAATAATTACTTGTACCGCTCAATGATGTATACACAAACTGAACTACTTAACCACTGGCTTTTATCCCTCTTCTTTCCAGATAACATATTGTGACATGTTGCACAACGGAGAACCCCCCCCCCCAGCAGTGACGCGGCGGGTGAGTCAGCGCTCCCCTCTCCCCCTCCGCATGGTAACATAACGCACAACGCGCGGTGACGCAACAGGACGATGTGGAACCGGTTCCTACTGTGACGTGGCACCGATTCCTACTGTCACGTGGGCAACAGGTAACAGCGAACGGAATATAAGCCGGCTGAGCAGTAAGCATGAGTTAGTTGTAATGTGGCAGTCGCCGAGTTAAGCAGTAGTCGAGCGAGTGTGTTATCAACAGTTCTCAAGGCAGCAGTCTGCGAGTTGAGTTGGAATATAGCAGCCGTCGCGGAAAGAAGAACCGGATGTGTGTGTAATTGTGTAATTGGGAGTGTGTGAGACAGAGAGACTTGTATAGCTCCCGTACTGTGAATACGTGTAGCCTACTGAAGATAGAGTGAACTGATTTGCGAATAGGGTTATAAATCATGAAACCCCGCAACAGTGTTAACAGATTAATGCGATTAGGGTTATAAAGTGTGAAACCCCGTAATATTGTTATAATTAATTGTAGCCGTGATTTGTAGGTTGTTAAATAAACCAATTAATGATCTCTACGGCGTCTTCAGTAACCCAACACGTTACAACATATATTTTGTAACATCAAACCTCAAAATTAAATGTCATAGTTCTTCCTCTTCAACCTTACAGTCAAGGCTTCCCCAACAAAGGACAGGCAATCAGAATGCACATAAAACAAGGCATATACAGGGTGTCCCAGGAGGAATGTGCCAAACTTCGGGAGGGTGTTCCTTATGTTAAAGTATGCCGATATAACCCAAAACACCTATGTCCAAAGTTGAACGGTTACGGAGATAATGG